CTTTTTCTTTGTCCTTAAGTGACCTTTAATGACTCGTTCAGTATACCAGTTCGTATATCCGTTTTCTATAAGAGCAGGTCACATTTTGGTTTGGTAATTAATTGTCTTTTCGTTAGCGTCGTGTTACTCATTTCATTATCATTATTTATATTTACATATAGATATCCAACCAATTTTGACGTCAAAATGTAGCTATTTTTATGTTCTTCAAACTAAGCTATAAAAAGTTTTATCATGCTGCTTCACTTTTTTATGAAAACGTGAAACAACCTAAACTTGGATAAATAACGCCAATAAATAATGAAATAGGCAATAAATCATTTAAACAACACATTCGTTAGAAATTTCAAATTTATGCTATATTCATCAATTTTTTGTGCTGAATTCATTTATACAAAAAAAAACTATTGCATTGCATTTAAAATTTTTGAGAAAAATCCATAAAACGGTATTCTTTTGAAATAACGCCATCTATAGGTTGCCATATTGAGGTAAATGACATTTCCCATTCATCACGAGATAAAGCATGAAAATACCTTTTTAACGATATACAACACTATGGGCTTTTGATAAGCCAAGCCTTAAAGAAATGCTCTCTTAGTTTATTTATTGATCAACATTTTTTTCCCGTTCTAGTACCTATACTTAGTGTATTTGTGTGTATACATCATTACATTATCTGGGCTTTACAGGTTGAACCGCAACTGAAAGTGTTGAGTCTTATCAGACGCGAACTGAGAACTGTATGTATTTTTCATTATATAAATGATCTAAAAAATGTAAATACTTCCATAAATTTGAAACTCAGCCACTGTCAATTTTCCTCATACCGTTACTGAGGAAAACGTTGTTGTTGTGTCCTTGATACCAACTGGGATTGATACATCTTAATGGGTTAGTTCTATGACTGAATCGTCATGGCTCCTGTACGTGGGCCAGAATGTTAGACAGTGGCAGTTCGTCAGCTAACTTAGAAAATAATATTGCCGTATTGCAATATATAGCATAAAAATAAAAAATTGAAGCCGGCTCTATTCCCCTTTTGTAAAAAAAGCACAGCAAAGTATCAAAAATGGTTTAATTTTAATAAGAATTAATGCCCTTTTACATTTGCTGGAACCGCGTAGTCGGCGGCACGAGCGTATGATTAAAAAACTAATATTTGTACAGACGTTTTAACATTAATTCCACGAGTAATACGCAACCGGTAGTAACTGTCGGCTAGCCATTTCCGACAAGTGTATAAAGGTACTTTCTCTCCGTTCACATCATACGATACGGCACGATAATTTATTCGAAACGGTAGTTGAATAGAGTTGAGGATCTATCGACCGAACATGTAGATTGAAAACTATGCGCTACTGACATTTTTATCGATTTGAAAAAACAATCGAATCCGTACCATTTTAAACTTGTTTTATTATTAAAATGTTTTTCTCTATCCATTTCAGGATATAATAATTCCTTACACCCAGGTCTAACAGATAATTGGAAACAAAACTCACCTACTATTGGTTATATATTTGTCTTGGTATAAGCAAAGATCTCAGTTTTGAGATAGAAAAATTAGATTTTCACTTTTTTACTTTTTTGAATAACTCAACAAAGAAAAACAATCGGAAAATTTTCCACTTTTGATTTTCAATTCGTTTTTGTCTCCTTAATCAAATCCCAAAAGGACGGGCGTCAATTTTGGAACACCCCTTATAGCTGTCTTTTAATAAATAGGGGAAAGTCATTTCAAATTATTTGACATTATTAGAATGTGCTTATAATGTAGCTGATTCGATTATATATTTCTGGAAGAACATAAAAATAGTGCAGTACTGGATTTTTTTATATTCTCTTATTATTTTAATATATTTTCTTTTAATTCATTCATTAAATAAAAAAAATACTCAGAAATCATCCTGCACTTAGCGAAGTGCTGACTTCTGACTTTAATCTGGTCAGATTGTCGTACCCATCCCCACTCCCTTTCTTTCTCTCTATCGAAGTCTCCGTTCTAGTAATATGATTGTATTACTGGTCACATAATAATTTAATTTCAACGTTATTTTTAACCCACTCGACTAATTTTTACAATGTTTTAGCGACTCGATGGTCTTCCGACCCAATATAAGAGTATATACAGGGTGTGGCGTGTATAATCTATAAAAATTAAACTACAGCTTCCTGATGATATTTGTAATAGAAAAGTCTTATACGAAAAAGTTCTATCTACGCGTTTTTTTTTTTGTAATAAATTAAAGTTCATTTATTCAACGAAAATGAAGGCCGACCCTGTGTTATTTATTAAAAAATTTGGAAATGTTTTTATGCGACCCGAGATGCAACCTTATAATTTAAGTCGGTATAATCTAATACTAGCAACACCAAAAGGTTAGCTTACATTGTCAAAATAAAATAAAAAATTTGTGCAGTCAACTGATTTTGTATTTGTATTGAATTCATTATTCACTTAATTACTAAATATTAAGTATCGTCCATCGACCCATCAGTGCTAAAAAGTGAAAGATTCCAGACAAAAGTTTTTATTTTGTAATCTCACGATAGTGACAGTGTAATTTATATAAAGAAGTAAAAAATAAGAATAGCGTGCCAATTGCATTAAAAACGAGTTTCTTATTTCTTACTTTGTTTAATTTTTTAGTTTGTGCACAAACTAGTTTTACAATGAACTGAGAAAACAATGCATTTACTATTTCCGAACGTGTCGATATGGTGTTAGTGTATGGTGCAGCCGGAGAAAATGCGCTCGCGGCGACTAGGTTGTACCGGCAACGATGGCCACAACGTCACCCCCATGTGCAAATACAATCGTACAGTGCGTTCAGCGGCTGCGAGATATGGAAAGTGTTATTCCTCGAGGAGAAGGACATGGTCAGTAAGTGAACCTTAATGTTGAAGAAGCAGTGTTGGAAAATCTTGACGAAGACCCCACAATTAGTACTCGACGACTCGCACAGCAAGTAGGAACCTCATCTCGAACCGTACATCGCATCTTAAGGCGCCAGCCGTTGCACCACTATCATCTGCAACTAGTTCAACAGATTTTACCCCCGGATTGTGATCAACGAATGCGTTTTTGCAGATGGTTTTTACAGCAATGTGCCAATCAAGTAGACTGTCCTGTTTATGTTTGTGTGATGAAGTGAATTTCCATAATATGCACATATGGGCCGATGAAAATCCTCACGCGGTTAGGGAAACTCATTTTCAACATCGGTTCTCGGTAAATGTTAGGGCCGGCATAATAGGCGATGTACTTGTGGGTACCTATTTCTTTGAAGGACGACTAAATGGACCAACATATGCTGACTTTTTGGAGAACCGGTTTCCTGAATTTTTGGACGATGTGACATTACAAGTTCGGGCACGCATGTTTTATCTTCAAGGTGGGGCTCGTCCACACAGTACTCAAGAAGTAACGACACTTTTGAATGAAATGTTTCCTCAGCGATGGATTGGACGCTTTGGTGTTGTACCGTGGCTATCTCGGTCACCCAATCTAACTCCAATGGACTTTTATCTTTGGAGTCACTTTTTTTTTTTTGGAGGATATAAATAAATCTTCGGTTCTAGCAAATAATGGACACCATCCATACAAATTATCTTTGGTTCAAAATTTAAGACTTAATGATTACAACAGACGTCTGGAGTATATTGCCTACGTTATGGTTCAGTTACATGACGACCCTCAGTTCCTCCATAAAATTATGTGGACCGATGAAGCAAGTTTTCACAATAATGGTATGGTTAATCGGCATAATAGTCATTACTGGTCTGTCGAAAATCCTCACTGGGTCAGAGAAACCCATTTTCAATCAATTTGGGGAAGTAATGTGTGGTGCGGCTTATTTAATGAACGATTAATTGGACCATACTATTATCAAGGTACTTTGACTGATGATAGATATTTGTACTTTTTAAGAGGTGTTGTTCCCGATCTTATTGAAGAAATTCCATTAAATGAGCGCTCACTATGTGGTGGCAGCATGACAAAGCACCACCTCATAACTCACATGCTGTAACGCATTTTTTATCTGAAAAATTTGGAGGGAACTGGATTGGTAATCAGAGACCTGTTAGGAGGCCTGCACGGTCACTTGACCTGAGTCCTCCCGATTTTTATCTGTGGGGACATTTAAAGCAAGTTATGTACGCTGAAAAACCAAATAACGTTGAAGATCTACAGAATAAAATCACTCGTGCTTGCCTTTAAATACTTTCAGAAATTTCGGTCTTTTTGTACACGAGCACTTTTAAGGAGGTATGAATTGTGTCAAAATGAAAAGGGCCGACAATTTGAGCACATTTTATAATAGCTATAATGTTTTTTATTTTGTATTATTCCTAAGAGTACTTATTAAAAAAATGTTACTCCAAAAATGTTTTTACATTACTTCAAAAACGGTTAATGATAGGTATAGAACATGGTTAATCAAATATGTTCAGAAATAAAAGGAAAACCCAAAAACTTAAAAATATACAGGGTGTTCCATTAAAAAAATTTAAGTTCCGCAATATACCATCTTTTTGGGGCACCCTGTATATTTGAAAATCAAATAATTAATCGCATCTTTTTAAGCAGAAAACCTTTTCTATATAACATTTCTTTCTATCTCGACTAGTTTCCGAGATAATGCCTGCCAAGATAGTTCTGGGACACCCTGTATATAGTTCTCTGTTGATGCCGCTATCGTTTTCGAGATATTAAATTAAATTATTATTGAGATATTTAAATTATTACCCAAATTTTCATTATCGTGAAATATGTGCACAGATGTTTAGAAACTGTAATTTTTTTATTCAAAGTATACTGTATCTCGAAAAAAGGGTTCACAACTATTTCTTCAATTATTTTGCCTACATGAATTCAATACATTGGGTTAATTAATCCCGAAATATCCTGTACAAATTACTTGCAGGTGAAGCAATAACATATTTTCAAATTGATTCTATTTTTTTTCTAGGACTTCATGTCTAAGAAAATTAAAATGTCAGAAACGTTTGAGCCTGAAACGGGGGAAATGATAGTTAAGCGGGTGAGCGTTCCCATAGGACTTGAAGAATTAATGGAAGGCTTAACAAAAGAGGTGCTTCTAAAGAAACCAGACGATATTTATTTATTCGCAGCAGATTACTTTTCACGTCTGCTTATACTAAGAGATAAAGGTGCATATAAAGGTAAATGTTTGCTTACTGAATATATGTGTACTATGTTTAGTATGTTCTTTTTCATTTAAAAAAATCATCCACCACCTAATAGCTCCCACATGCTCTATCGCATGTCTGTAAACAGGAGCGGCTTAAGGTAAAATTTTTACCCGGGCGAGAGGGTAATTTGGCGCCCCCTCTCCCTTAAAACCAAAAATCACATTGGTGGAAAATAATTAGAAAAAAATAATCGTTTCGCGGTAACAATGTAAGACATATACTGTATTATGATGTAGCCTACATTATACTGTGTAGGTTATACTACCCCTCTCGATGCGACGCCCCAGGCAGTCGTCCAAGCCGCCCGGGCCTTAAGCCGCCCCTGTCTGTAAAGTAATTATAGAAAAAAACTGACAAAGAAAAAATTCTGACTCTGTCTTTGATTTTAGTTAAAACACAGCGCAATGCGCAATCCGTCGTCAAACAAACTCCCAAACAGCCAATAGAGAAATTACTAGTTCGGGGAGCTTCAAAACAACTCTCCAGACAAATCAGCGTGAGAGGCGAATCGCCAACGAAAAAGGTTCCCCCCGTTAGAAAACCTCTAGCACGCATGGGCAGGGAAGGTAAAGACATCGAGCGGAACAAAATTGTTGACAGGAGGAAGACAAGAATGTCTGAAGGGATTGAAACCAAGGTTACAGAGTCTAAACCGAAGCAAGTCTTTGCTACACCCCGACCTGCACCAAACAGCAATGAGGAGAAAGACAAAAGTATTTTAAATAAAAGAGATAGATCGTTGAGCAGTACCAGGCGTGGAAGATCATCAAGTAGAAATGCTCAAGTAACTCCTCGCCAAAAAAGTACTTCAACTCCGAGAAAGACAGAAACATCTTCTGAAAGTGAGAAATCTGGTAAAATTAGCAGAGGCGATGATAAACACAAATTGGTAAAGAATGATAATAAAAAAGAAAAACCTGTGGTTTCTCAAATTTCAAGTATAGAAGAAAGTCAGGAGTACGTCAAAGATGGAAAATTGACAGTAACCTCACCAAAAATTGTTAAACATCCTAAAGTTTCAGACAGTCAAGAAATGATAAACTCTATAGTTGTACCTCAAGTAGTTGATCACATAGCTACAACTGCTGATAAACGTTCTTCTGTAAATAATATCAACGAGACAGAAAAACCTGTTGAAGGTAGTGAAAAAATTGCAGTTGATATGGATGATGATGTTATGGAAAGAAAGGAGTCGTTAGTAAGGAAAGATGTTGCTGATGAATATTTTAATGTCAGTAATGAGAAGAAATACAAAAACGGTAAGGAGAAACATGAGACAAATAATCATAGTGGTATTGATAATAAAGTATCTGAGGAAAATGTAAAGAGAATTGATTCAATGAGCGGTGAAAATAAAAATAATAGTATGCAATCTGATATAGACAAAATAGAAAGAAGTATTAAAAGTGATGCAGAAGAAATTAAATCCGATGAAACAGTTTCGGTAGAATTAAAACCAAAAAGTGTAAAAAGTAATGAATCTTCGGAAAATACGCATGAACATAATAAAAGTGATCAACATCTAAGAAGGGATCACGATGAAACTTTTCCATTTGCTAATCAAAATAATAATAATAGTTTGGAAAGTGCAAACCGATATGAAAAAGTGGAAACTAAGGTGACCGGTAATTTTGAGGAAGAAAATTTAGAATTAAAAACTGAAGGCAATGAAGAAGCAGATATGAATTTGAAATCTGAGATGGAAAGTAAAATAAATTTAACTACTAGTCAAGACGATTCAAAAGAAATTTTGCGTACAGAACATTTAAACAGTGATATTGACAATAATCAGCAAAATTATAGTAAATCTAAGATAGAAAGAGAAGGCAATGCTGCAATAATTAGCCTTAATGAAAATGAAACGAAGACGACTGAGAAAGAAAAATTACTTGAAAAAATAAAGTCCTCTGATTTTGAAATACTAGATAGTACTAAAATTAAAGAAAACTCCAAAACAGAGTCAGAAACTGGAACGCAAAAAGATGTATATGTGTCAGACGAAGATCATATAAAAGATGATGATAAGAAAGAATACTCAAACCAATCAAATGATAGCAATAATAAGAAGGGACAAGAGGACAACGTTACAAGTAAAAATCCTTATGAAAATAAAACAGAGATTAATGACAGAGAGCTTGCGAAATTAAAATGTACTGATCCTATTATATCCGAAATAATAGATGATAATAAAATTCAGGAGAAATTCGAAACTGGGAACGGCGCAATTTCAGAAACTATGACTCAAAATGATTTGCATGCTTCAGAGGTAGATGATACGAAAAAGAATAGTGATAGTGTCACAACTCAATTAATAAAAGAGCGTTCAAACCAACAAAATGAGCTTATTGTTAATAAAGATGAAGGTAGTATTTCAAAAAGTAGTATTAATGAAAATAAAACTGTTATTTCTGGTGAAGGAAAACTAAAAAATGAACAGTTCCCTGGTCCTGCTATTTCCGAGTTAATAAATAGCACTACAATTGAGAAGAATTTAGAACTTGTCCCTAAAACGAATTCCGATATAGAAAAATCTAAAGAACGTGAAGAGAAAGATAAAGTAGCAGAAAATACTATTGATGAGTTAGATCATCCTTCTTTTGTTAGTAAGGTAACTCCGAACACAACAAATAAAGAACACCCAGAGAAAGTTGCAGAAAAAGAAAAAAATACAATACCCAATGACACTACTTTAAAACCTGGTGCGGATGATGTAGAAATTATAAAAACAAATTGTAAAATTGAAAACAAAGAAAGAATTGAGGGAATAGAAAATTTGCAACCATTATGTAAAGATGAAGAAGATTCAGGAAAATTACAAGGAGTTGAGGATAAAAAATTGGATAGTACGTCTGAAGACTTAAAAACAGAGAATGATAGTAGTGTATCATTAGAAAGTGATAATAAACCTGAGATAGATAAACCTCTTAATAATTTAATATCACAAAATACTAAAGAAGAGAAAGAAGAAGGAGAAAGTTCAACGTTATCATTAAAAACCGACGAAATAAATATGCCTGGAAAAGAAAATTCACCCACAGAAACTAATAACATAAAATACGAGGAAGACGAAATAACCGCACTCTGTACCAGTACAATAGATGGTGCTGATAATATCGAAAAAAAGAAGGATATTGTCAAACCTGTACGAGAAAAAATCGAAGATAAATTAAAAAGTGATAGTGACTCAAGTACTGAAGATAGCAGTAATAAATTAGGGCAGGATATTAAACCTATTGAAAAAATTAATGAAAATGACATGCAAACCAAGGAAAAAATTGATTTGGACTATGCAGTGTTGAAGTCTGAAAGTCAGTTAAAATTAGATGATCATTCTATAGAGGGAGATAAAGAGAAGTATATTTCAATTCCAATAGATAATTCAGATGGGAGTGTCTTAAAGGAAGGTAAAACTGAAATTACTCAGCTTAACATTAGTCCATCAGTCGAATCGAAAGAACGGTATAAGGATGCTAAGTTAAGCGAGAATAATATTTTGAATAAGAGTCAAAAGGAAGATGACAAAAATGAGAGTTACAAGGAAAACAATGGAATAAAAACTACAACTGTTCTTGACGTTAAGCCTGACGTATCCAGTGATAGTTATTCTACTAGTACCGATGAAGATATTACTAATAAAGAAACAACTGTATCTACTACAAATACAACTGATAAAGATAACTCTAATGATACATCTAAGGATGAATCGAACGTACAGAAAAGTTTTTCAGATTCTTCCATAGATCAACTAGATGCTAAAACAGCAAAAATTGATGATAACAGTTTGGAAGAAGATAAGGGGAAACATATTATCCATCAGTCAGAAGAGGATGCTATAAATAATATATCGAAATCTTTAGAAGACAACTTTTCACATAGGAATGGAGACAAAGACAGTACTACTAATGCAATAAGGTCAGTTGTAAGTATTGCTGAAGGTGGTTCAATGGATCAGAGGGTAAAAACATATATTAACAATTTCATCCAAAATGAAAAACAACATCTGTTTGTTGGAATGTCTAACATAGCCAGTGGCACTGGTGCAGAGTTAGAAAAGCAAACCGATGAACCATTCATAAAGACAAATATATCAGACACAATGCAAGAAAAACATCTAGTCACAAATGAGATACTGAATAAACAGTACAAAAAGGAAGAAAACAGTCATGGTGGTGAAGAAAATGCTATAGACCATCCGTTACAAGAGTTAAAAGATGAGGAAACGAAAAATATTATAAATTCCACTATAAATGTCGTTACTGACGGGTTGCTTGATCACCAGGTTAAATCTTATATAAATCATTTTATACAAAACGAAAAACAAAAAGTATTTATTAAAAATCCTGATGATATAACTGACGATAATGTGAAGATTGCTACAACAGTTGATCAGGCAAAAGAACAAATAGAAGATCCATCAACAATCAAGTCTAATGAAGAAGACATTATAAAATCCGCAAAATCTGTGACGGAAGCGAAACACCCGTGTGATATAGATAACAAATATATTACTGATTTTTTACAAAAGGAGACGGAAAATGTTTACATACAGGATTGTGATGCAAATAAAAATCTTGCAATTGCCATTGAAAAAGAAATCATTACAAGTGACAACGAATCTAACTCGAAAAAACATGTTAATAACTCATTCAAAGAAAATAATGAGTTGGAAAAAAAGCCTGAAAGCGAGAAAATTAGCGAACATAACTTTTCAACTGAATCGAATATGGAAAATATAAAAGAAACTCTTGACCCAAAGAAAACAATGGAAGAAGATAAAAAAATAAGACGAATTAAAACAGTTGATGTCATAAGAGATGAAAATAAAAATAAGGCTCAAATAAAAAGTCGAATTCCTACAGCTGATTATAGAACTAGGGGAAAGATGGACGAAAATGAAAAACATACACGTATGAAACGATCCAGTTCATACAGTGATAATGTCAGGCCCCCTGTTGAAAATGATACTGCTATCGTAGACGAAAAATTCACATCTACTACAAATAAAGGTGGAGTTGAGTTATTAACTAAAGATTTAAATAAATCTGTGGTAACTAAAGAGAAGAAACACGACCAAGAAAAAGCTGAAACAGTTAAAGAAGTAGAACCTGCGGTAGCATCCACAAGTAGCTCTAGTGAATATGCTAATGAAAATCAGACAAAGAAAATAAATAAAGAATTTTTAGAAGATAGCAATAGAAGCGAGAATTCTTTAAAAAACACCACGTCTGATTTTAATTTACAACATGAAGGAAAAAATCAAGATTTGACAAAAAATGATGATTCTCAAAAAGAAGTAGCAGCTGCAAGGAAAAATAAAGCAGAAATTTTTGAAAAGCGGGAAACAGCTGATGAAGTTACCGGTGATAAAAATGAAGACATGGAAGAGAGAAAAGAAAAGAAAAATAAATATCAACTTGACGAAGCTGCTGTAATCATTCAGAAAATTTGGCGCGGTTTTAAAATTAGAAATGAAAAAGGTGTCAAAAGTAGATTCATGAAAGACGATGAAAAAGTGATCACTAATCAAACTGCACTAGATAGTGCTGGAACACACAAGTCCACAGTTTTAAAATTGGCCTCAAAGCCTGAAGATGAATTCATTAAAGCTGTAACATTAATTCAGAAAGTTTGGAGAGGATTTAGAGTAAGAAAACTAGCAAAAGCACATATTGACTTAAAAAGTGGGGAAAAAATTGCCACAAAAGATCCAAATAGTAGAACGCCTAAAGAAACAACTTCAAGAAATCAAAATGAAGTAAAAACGCCACAAGAGATAGAATATTTGAAACAACAATCTGAAAATAAATTTGTTGAGGCTGCGATATTAATTCAGAAAATTTGGCGCGGATTTAAAGTTAGGAAACCGCTTAAAAATAACACTAAACAAATAATAGATGGCAAAAAGACGAAAGATTCAGTGATTCCTCTTAGTGAAAAAGATATCAAATATGACATGCCGAACGTAGAAATAAGTAAAAAACAAATAGCTACAGAGAATGCAACAAATCAGGAATCAACAGACTCAAAATCATGTCTGAAATCCGAAGAATTCATTAAAGCTGCAGTACTAATTCAAAAAATTTGGAGAGGATTTAGAGTAAGAAAGCAGTCCAAGATAGGTTTTAAGTTAAAAAATAGTCAAAATAATGAAAGAGAGGAACCCATAAGTAAAAATGTTGGAGAAGTAGCCAAAGGTCAAAATGAAATAAAAATTTCACAGGGGATATTACAGTTAAAATCACAAGGAGAAGACGAATTTGTTAAAGCAGCTATGTTAATCCAGAAAATTTGGCGTGGATTTAAAGTACGAAAATTATTTAAGTTGAAACAAGAAATTGTTGGTAAAAAGAAAACTGATTCAGAGGTTTCAGTTAATGGAAATGATTCCAAAAGTAGTGTAATCAAAGAAGGAGCTATAGCTAAACAAATTACAGGAGAAGGTACAAAAATCCAAGAAACAACGAAATTGCAATCGTCTTTAAAATCTGAGGATGAATTTACTAAAGCTGCAATATTAATTCAAAAAATTTGGCGAGGATTTAAAGTAAGAAATTTAACGAAGAACAAATTTGAATCAAAACATAAAGAACAAATAATTACAGAGAAAAATGTGAAGATAAGTAATCAAATTGGAGCAAAACCATTGAAAGAAACAACACACTTCAAACAATCACAAAGAGAAAATGAGTTTGTTAAAGCTGCTGTATTAATTCAAAAAATTTGGCGCGGATTTAAAGTGAGGAAACAAATAGAACTTAACATGAAAGATAGAACTGATAGTAAAATAGATACCGATTTACCGATACCTACAGCATCTATAAAAACAGAAGAGGAATTCAATAAAGCAGCAGTACTAATTCAAAAAAATTGGAAAGGATTTAAAGTAAGAAATCTGTCGAAGAGAGAATCTAAGTTAATAAATGATGTTGATAATGTACATAAAAAGCAAAACAACACTTTTAAGGATGGAACATTAACAAAACAAGTTGTAGTACAGGAAAATGAAGAACAATTTGTAAAAGCTGCAATTTTAATTCAAAAATTTTGGCGCGGATTTAAAGTGAGGAATACATTAAAGAAAAAATCAGAAAACAACAGTAAGCCGGAAAAATCAGATTATTTAAAAAGCATAGTACCCAAAGAAGCTGTCTTGATTAAACAAATTATAGCAGAAACAGCTTCACCACAATCAAAACAACAAGAGGGACAAAATAAAAGTAAGGAAAATAAGAAAATAGAAGGAGGGGATGATAAATTAGGCATTAAGACCAGTGAATTAGATGATGAATCTGTAAAAGCTGCAATAATGATACAAAAAATATGGCGAGGCTTTAACGTACGAAAGGTTAGACAGCAAACAGAAGTTTTTGGAAAACCGGTAAATAACGAAAAACCTGCAATAGAAACTGTAAGAGAAATTGACCCAAAAGATAAAAAATCGGCCTTGAAAATACAGTCCCTATGGAGAGGTTATCAAGTTAGGAAAAATATCAATGTAATTAAAAACAAGGTATGTTTGAAACGAGAAAATTGGCACAGCAAAATTAAAACATGCATAAATCGTTTGTTCTAGCTAGAAGACACAATAACTTCGAACGATGCTGGTAAGGGAAAGGAATTAACCGATGGCGATATTTTAAATGCAGCAACCAAAATCCAAGCGGGTGTTCGAGGATATTTGCAGCGAAAAAAATTTAAAAACGATATTAATAAGTTAAATAGTATCTCTGAAGAAGGTGACAAAGGTATATATAACGCAACTGTAAAAGAAGGCGATGGTAATGGTTGTAATGTAATTGATAGAAAGCTCTCAGAAGAGGAGGTTTTAAAAGCACTTGAAGATCTTAATAAATTAAAGGTACCAAATGATATTCCTATACTGCATGAAATTGATAAGCCAAAATTTTATAGAAGTGACACTGTACAAGAACCTCAGTTTGAAAGAAAACATAATCCACCACTACTTAAATCAAATTCAGTAAATTATATCCCAATAAAAGATGCTAGCACCTCAAGTTTGTTGAACATAGATGATAATAATAACGCAAATAAATTTAACAAATCTCCATTAGGAATAAAAGTACAGGATGCAAGAGACCATGTGGCAGGGGAAAATTTAAACAAATTAACAAATGAAGAAATAGATTTAAATAGAAAAATTATTAATGCGAATAATATCGACAGAAATACACATAATGTACATCAAAAGCTTAATACAAATAAAGAAGACTCTATACATCACAATAAATTGGATTTAAATCAAATTCCCCAATTACATGATTGTGATAATTCTGTAACACATGATAATGAAAGTTCAATAAAGAAGTCTTCAACAAATAATGTTGCTGATGAAGAGGAAAATCATATTAATCCAGTAGATCAAGAAATTGCAAATATACTTATGGCGCCTGATGTTGAAAGTTCAATGAAAATTTCCAAAAATGTCAGTGAAGAAAATTTAAATAATATAAATCCGCAAGAATCCACAAAAGTTCAATCCAACCTAAACTTGCCATATAATTTACAAGAAAAAACTAATAAGAACATTTCAGTTGATACCAAAGGAGACTTGCCTATTATCGATAAAGAGATTGACAGTGCACCCCCCGGATATGATGAAAATAAATATAGTAATGCAGAAAAAAATATATATGAAAGGCCACTTAGTATGGATTCTAACGATTCTGTAGTAACAGTAATATACAAAGATATACCAGATAATAAAAGTGAATTTGAAGATAATGAAGTAAATGTCAATGTATCAGATAAAATAGATACTAAATCAAACGAGACTCTGTCAGAACAAGAAACATTAATCGGCGATTTACAAAATAAATTATTAGATCAAATATGTGGAAGAAATGATACACTTGATGAAACAGTTGACAAATTTGATATCGAACAACTGAGAAAGGAATTAGAAGAAACGGGGTTAATTTATAATACTGACGATAATAGTCATATCCGCCATGAAAATTCTAGAGAACTACTAGACGACCATGACCAGTTACTCGACTACTTGGAAGGTTATGAGTTATCTACTCAAGGTGAAAACGATGATCCTTATTTAAAAGACGCGAAACTTCGTTCGTCATCAAGGGACTTACCAGACATAAAAGAGGAAGACATTGAAAATAAATGTATTACAGTTACTGACCCGCATCAAATGAACGAAACAAAGGCATTTGAAAAAACGCAAGAAAACATTCAACATAAAGGGCAGCAAAGTATTCCAAATGGCATCAAAATTAATAAAGATCTTTCAGAGAATGATTTAAATGTAGACAAAATAAAATCTACGTTAAAAGAATGTGAAGATATTGCACGGGAAATAAATATGGGGTTTGAAGCCATCAATCTTGATGGAGCTGTGAATCAGGAATCCGATTATAAATCGAGATGCACTGAAAATTTATTCCAAAAGAATCAGCCTGATCAGTTATTTTGTGGAACCGCAGAAAAACAAAGTGAACCTAAAGTTATTCCCAATGATGTTGAGTTAATAACACCAGTTAATATGAAATTAAAAACTAATTTAAATATTACTCGTAATGGCGATCAGAACAATAGTGGTCAAGATTCTGCAGATCAAAAATATGCTGAAAAATCAGATTCTACAAATGGGCTCTTACATACTGGAGAACTTCATGATTCTGTGATTATTCCTCTCTTTGAAGACTCAGATTCCAAATCAGAAGATTTACCGAAAAATATGGACGTTGAACAGTTAACTAAGGACGTGTCTGATATTCAACCTTCAAAATTATTGCATACAGGAGAACTTCACGACACTCTTGTCGTGCCGTTTTCACTAAGGGCGCAAAATTTAGAAACTGACAATGGAAAACAGTTAAAGGATATTACTTTAACGACACCAGAAGTTCCTTTGGTACCTCCCTCAACTTCATCATCAAACCCAGATGTTAAAGTACCGCAGTTAAAGGATGATGACAAACTGAACACAAAAGGACTTATGCACACTGGAGAATTTCATGACGGTTTGGTGACACCCTTGACAATGGATGTTCATCAGGCTGTTACCGAAAGCTATAGTAATCCACCCAAAACTTCCGAAGGCGCTTTAGTTGAGTCAACCGATAAGCACCCTGCACCTGAATTTTCATCAAAACAGGATCAACCAACTAAACTTTTACATACAGGCGAGTTACATGATCCTATAGTCCTACCATTACCTAAAAAGTCTCCAGAAGGAACAGCTGAAGATTTAGAAAATTCTAAAAAAGCAGATGTTGGTGAACCAGAAAACAATCCAAGGCAAGTTGATAGTGAATGTCAGACTAGTGGCGATCCTGCCATAGAAGTTCAACTCCATGAAGTTCCAGGTCGAGTATTTATTATCATAGTAAGTGGATTTCACTAATGCATTGTTAGCTAGTGCACTGAACACTAATTATCATTTTTATATTTGTCTGTGATATATATATATATATAGGTGTTCGAGGATATTTGC